ATAATGCAGTAGACGTAGCCGAGTCTCGACCCAGCTGTTGAGCATCGTCCCCGTGACTTCCCTCCAAGCTGCTGTGACATCCTTGTGCGGGGTTTGTTCACTCCTCTAAGTCCACGGCTGCGCGTACCGACAACACAGCGAGGTGCACAGCAAACCCCACCAGCGAACGTACATTAGAGTACTAGGTGTACCGCGAAGTGGCACCGCAACAGTCCTCAAATGCGCAGCAATACACAATTCGTGTGTTGTGGCAACCTGGTCCAGTAACAGCGGTGGTAGCTGCTACAGTCCCCTCAGGATTGCTGCCGCGGTCTAGTAAGGCTCCACCATACACCGTCTGCAGTTGTAGTCTCTCGAAAGTAATGATACAGTCATTGTAGCAGCAGTGTCCGACGTGCACAGCAACAGCCCACAGCGGGAACAGCCCACAACCTGTGTGTAGCGGCGGCCAGCCCCCCCTCGCTATCCAGCATGAAGCTGCAGTCCTACCGTTCCAATAGTCGCCAGTCTCATAACAGCACAGCCGCAACGAGCAGGGAGGCACACAGCTGTGAAGCTGCACAGGGTGCGATAGCGGACAACATGCACAACCGCTCGGTAAGCTACAGCCAGACCACCAGATGTTGGCTTCCCCAAGGGCCTGCCGATCGTAGCAGCCCTCGACAAGCCCGACCACACCCCCAAGCTGCAGTGCCCCTGGTTTTGACTAGCTCACCACTACACCCCTTAGCTAGATTCGGCGCGCAACTTACTCAAACGGTATGCGGTAATCCCTGGGCAACACAGCAGAGGAGCTCAAACAGCAACCATAGTAACTGCTGTGCCAGATACACAGCCGAAGTAGTCCGTAGAGTGCACAGCAACGGAGCTCCGAAGGGTACCGCCTTAGCCGAAGCGCATGGCGACCAACACTGGCTGGCGGTACCTGCAGCGCACGGCGACCAACAGTGGCTGCAACTTACATAGGCATAGTCTCAATCAACTCCGTGAGCCACCACTTCAACAATCGACTGCGGCCTATATAGGTAGGTTTTTCGATTTTTCTGCAAGAGTTGCTCCAATCGGCCAAAACTCCAGTGTACGGTTTCCAATACACTCCTGCAGGTCCAAATGCCACCCAGACTCCCCGTTCACCTGGACGGCTGCAGTGCCGAATCAACATAAGGGCTTACTCTTGCTACCATCATCATACTCATGTAGAGCCCCTTTGTCTCTCACTCCTTGTCCTACCACAGCGGTATACAACAATCCCCGTCCTGCACCTTAAAGCACTACGGTGGCGCACTCTGCCAGTCAGATGACGACTCCACACTCTCGTGGCTAGCCCCCCTTTCCCAGTTGTTCTCCTCTTTTTTTTTTCTTTTTTTTTTTCGAACGTACCTACCGCGCATTCACGTCCACGTCCATTCGTATTTTGTTATTATCTTCTTCGTTTCTCTTTTAGTCCTGTGTTTTACCAGCGCTGTTCCTCTCTTATCCAACTCCTCCTACTTCATTCTCTTTGTTTCTCCTGTTTCACCCCTCCTCCGCTCTTACCTCCTGCGTACAACCGCACCTGGTCATCCGGCCACGTTCAGACTCTGCTCACCGGGGTGAGAACACTGTGAGGCACTATTCTCCTACCCCCCCCCGGTGCGTAGGCCTCTCCCTCTCTTTCCCTCTTTCTCTCTTACTTCTCTCTCTCTTTCTCTCTCTCTCTCTTCCTCTCTCCCTCTCTTTCCCTCTTTCTCTCTTACTTCTCTCTCTCTTTCCCTCTCTCTCTCTTCCTCTCTCCCTCTCTCCCTCTCTCTCTTTTTGCCTTCAATTTTCGACGAATCTGGTCGGCCATCCGGTTAGGTGCCTCCTACCTCAAGCAACCTCTGAGTATCAAGCACTTAGAGACGCTCACCGTGACGAGTAGTGCCGGTGTTTGTCCTCAATAACCCCTGCCACTCTCTTCTCATCCCTTTACACCCCGGACTTGTCCTACTCCACTCTGCCACGCAGGAGGTCACACCCGAGGGGTACTACGCACTTGGCCCACTGAACAAGGGGCAGAGGCAGCTCGAAGATGGAGGGGGCCATACCCGTACAGCAAGGTAGATGAGTTCATCTACACATCGACCCCTGCTACGAACACGACGACGCTGATTACTTACAGTAGGTACAACTGGTGCGAGGCACTCGAAGAATAGTAACAACAAGGAGCGAACTCCCATTTGAAGATAGCCAAGACACACCGTGGTCAGAATCTGATTCTCCGTGCGAGCAGCACCTCACCACTGCAGCGCGCGAACCAGCTACTTACTGCGAAATCTGACTCCACCAGTCAATTCGCCATGACCAGAAACATTAAAAACGAATCTTTATTCGCATATTTTCATTTAGGAACGAACGAGTAGTGCTTCCTCAACCGAGTTCACCCGTCTCTTCCCACCATCTCCACTCTGAGACCGCACCCGACGCGGATCGGCGTCCTGGTCCACTCTCACCTTTCACTCAACTAACACCAAAACGAACATTACCTCCCTGCTCGCCCAGTCCTTAACCCGAGTCTGCCCCTTTCCGTGGTTACTTCCCGTTAGGGACAAGCGGGATACAACCGTCTACTCCCGCCATAGCCTTCCCCGTCTTGTTGCTTTCTCTTTATTTTTGAATGAACCTTGCGCGTGCTTACGACCAGATACACCCCTATTTAGTTCGTCACTCCCCCTTCACTATTAGTCTCGCCCGGGTTGAAAGCTTCGGCCTAGCACCTCATCCTCTCCGCCATGGCCACGTCCCCCGTTTGCTCCGCCAGCATCCCCGTCAAACGCACCTGGCCCAAGATTGCGTCCGGGTTCATTCGTCCCTTACCACCTCCATACTCCGCCACGTCTGTTTGCCCCTCGCCAACTTCCTCCTTCTGGTATGGATGTCGTGATCCCTGGACCCGGCCCCAACCTTGGCCAGGTACGTGATCCCTCCTCTCCTAGCTGCCTCCGGCCTGCATCCCCGTCATCCCGTGTTACGCCCCGGAATCACAGCCACTTCGCATGCTGGTGGTCACAGCCGCCTGGAATACCTGGAGTTCACCACCTTGACAACCAACAGTGGCCACACGCTACCATTCGTCAGGTACATTCGAGGGTGAATCAGCCGCTGGCGTGTACGGGCGACGACCTCTCACTGTCGCTCCGTTTGTAGCCTTACCTCAGGTAAGTTCCTCCCCCTCTTTGCCCTTCTTTCTCAGCTATTCCTCCGTCCTTCTCCTCCTTCTATGCACGCACTTCCTCGCCTTCCAATCACACGACTCCTCCCCCCCGTAGGTTCTTGCGCCTCCGATGCTCATAGCACAGCGCTAGCGACCGGTTTCTGTCGACGAGCGCAAGCGCAGCGTGTCGATAGCATTTTCTTTCCCTTTAAAAAAAACGTCACGTGACTGCACTTTATACGCCTTATCCGTGCGTTGGGACCATGCTAATCTTTCTCTGTACCGTTCTATTTTTTTACGGATGTCCCGAAGGACTGTCCCTCTATAGCAGCCCCTCACCTCGGCAGTTCGTGGCTGAACTAAGCCGTTGGGCTCTACTGTAGGTCCCGGCACTGGCCCCGGGCCTCATCCATAAAGAAAAAGTAGAAGTAGGAAAATAAAAATTTAAACTCAAAAAATAGAAAAATAAAAAATAACAGAATAGAGAAAAACAGACGGGGGGGCCGCTTGTACCTGGGCCTACCCTCACGGGCCCGCGGCTGGGCTCCCCTTAGCAAAACCAAAGGGGATAGTCCCACGGGACCCTCAACCCCTCGATTTGCTCATGTGCTCCTCCGCCGCTCCGCTGCTCCGCTTTGGCCTCGATCCCGGGATCTGCCTGGTGATAGTTCAATGACGTAACCTATAGGGCTAAGCCCCAACCTGGTTGTAGCAGGCGCAGCCCTACTCATAAAGAGTAAGGGCGGCCTGCCCAGGCCTGCAAACAGTATCTCAGGTCATTCCTCTATCTTACCGCTTGCGTCCAAGGCCGGCAGGCAACCATGTATTACTTTGGAGGGCACGGCCTCGCTAGGCTTGCCGAGCGTGTTGCCTCATCACGCCGCGGCTATGGCCGGGCTCTCCTACTCCCTCATATTCATCGAGAAGTCGCCCATTCTACCACCTTTGGGCCAAAAACGCCCCGACTACTACTCCCTTTGCCCCCGACCCATGCCGTCCTGGTTAAAGCTCGCCACGGCTTCTACTGTCGGTAGCTCATGGTCAACTGAATGCCTGCGAACCTTCACGTGGTGCGGCCCTGAACCGTCTGTCCCAGTGAGTTTGACAACGCTTTCCTCCCAGTCCTCGCCTTACCTGGTCACTCTTCACGTCGTCCGACATTCTGACCGTGCGTGTGAGTCTGCGACTGCCTCAAAAAATCTAGCTCAGCTCTGACCTGTCCTACCAGCGTCTCATGGTCTTCCTCGACCCAGGCTTGGTCAGGCTAACGCGTGCCCACAAAGTCTACGCCCACACACTCTCTAATCAACACAAGTGGGACCCGCCCTCAGCTATCGCCAGATGTGTTCTTCCTGTAAGCTGCAAATACTTGCCCAAATACCCTTGTAAGGGTATTCGGGCCGGCACGGCCTTCCTCGCTCAGGCAAGGAGACCGGTCTGTCCTGAGCATTCTTGGGGTGGAAGGACACAGCCCGGTTCGCGAACGGTCATCGGCGTCGGCCGGGGGGGAAGAGGAGGGTGTGCAACAGCCTGTGCATAAGAGGAGGGGAGGGCCTCGGGAAGAGGGTACAGGTTCCGCAAAGAAACATAAGGCAAGGACCCCCCAGACGAGGGGGGGGAAAAGGAAGGGAGTTGAGGGGCAGGAGGGCACATCGGGTCCGAAACGCCCGACGTCGGTGCAGAAACAGCCTCAACCAGGTGCTCTCGAGGCGAAGGGTCCCATCGACGTCGACGCCGCGTACTTCCTGGAATGGAAAGACGGTGTGCGGACAAAGCGGGAGTCCTTCATTAGCCCATCGCAGGGTGTCGACATCGGTGACTGGAACTGTCGTACAACCAACGGTCGTTGGATCCCGTGCACATGCAGATCATCATTGACACGATGATGACGGCTTTCTCACAAGCCGAGAAGACGTACGAGTTGCCTACCCTCGAGCTGGCGCCGATAGGGCTGGAGAAACCGAAGTCGGGCGTGCGGGCTGATCGTCTAAAGCATGAGGACTTGAAGGACGAGCTCGCAGACCAATACTATTATTACGCCGTTTCCGGCCAGCACAACGCTGCTGCAGCCAAGATGCTGCTGGGCACGGGCGTCGCATTGAGGTACAACTTCGGCAAGTGGCCTGCACGTATGGTTTACTTCTCGGACGAGGAGTTCGATGGGCATTTTCTGGTCAGCTCGGAGGACAACATGAAGGACTTGAAGGCGCCTCCTAGACAGCTAAAACTATCAATGAAGGACATTCGGTGGCTGTGGAAAGAAAAGGGTTTCCCAAATGCTGTTATCGGGAACCCCAGTGGAAAACAAGCTCAGGTGAAGACATGGCGTGAGTTCTGTTCGCAGGCGCTTCACAAAACGCCTTACAACCACTTGTGGCTTCTCGGTGATGAGAAGGGCGAGGACAGTATTAAGAAGCAGAACGCTGTCCTTCGCTCTTATTTTCCGTTGGTGATGGCTGGAAAAAGCGCGTGGGAGCTGGGTATGGAATTTTTCGAGAAATGGGAGACGGGGAGACTTCTGGCACCCGAGGGGGCGAGGTGGATCACAAGGAAACGGAAAGTGCAGAGCGTCAGGCCCGGCGTTAGCCACATTGAAAACGACAAGTGGAGGAGAAAGGAGGTTGTCTACAACGTCCCCGTCGAGGTGCCCCAAAAGAAAGGAAAGAAGGAGAAAGAGCCTGGCGATTGGTTTGTCCAGGTCACCGAGCCGGATCCGCACTGCTGGAAGAGCATGTAAGCCCTTACCGACAATGAGAAATGTCGATTGCTCAAGAAGGTCCTCGACTGCGAGGTTGTATGGGTGCAAATAGGCTCCGCATCGTTGGCAAAGCAAGGCAAGCTGGGAGTGCAGGAAGCAGTGCACCTGCTCAAGTGCGATCGCATCTTGGTGCGATTGTGGAACTACTATTAGTTTGTGCACGAGAACCGGCCGGCCACTGACTGGACACATGCGTATCCCTTCCTAAAGAAGCGCGAGTCCATTTTGGCAGAGTTCGAGAAGCAGGGAATGGATGCCTCGTTGTGGGACGGGAGCAGGAAGCTCGTCGGTGACGCCTCGCTGTTCAAGGACTGCCCGTCATACATGGGGTGCGAGGACGACAAAACGATCAAGGCGACGGAAAAACTCGCCCAAAACAAGAAGTTGTCCGCCGACTGGAAGAACAAAGTCCTCTCAGTGCTGATGGGCAGTAGGGCGAAGAGCATGGAGGTCGCGCTTGCCGAAGGCGTGGTGCACGTTCTGTGGAAAGACTCGGGGGACGTGACATCGATCGCCCCGTTCAACGTTGACCCTCTGGAGGCGCAGTTGAGGGTCACGGAGCTGGAGAAAGCGATTGGGACCACCAAATGCCACACGTGCGTTCTCGATCTGTGCGAGCCGGTGGACTTTAGACTGTGGACCCCGAGAGCTTTCGAGAGTTTCAATTCCCTCCTAAAGCAATTGTTTCCGTCATACTGGACGGTCGTCGCTTTCATCCCTCGGCAGTGGGACTAATCCTTCATGACCAGCCTGCGCCATCTGCCCGTTGTGAAGGCAATGGCAGGGAAGTGGGTCAGGAGGACGTAGCAAAAGAAAAGTTTCCCAGTGGGGAACAACTTGTACTCGGCTGACGACCGCATGTACATTCTCTTCAAAGGTGACGATTTGAGGGAGAATACATGTGTCGTCTACGATGCTAGGTTGTCGGCAGGTGACGCTGCGGCTGTCGGGGTGCATCAAAAAGTGACCCCGACAGACATATCGGAGATTCTCTTCGACCCTTGTGAGTGGCCGTCGGCCATGCCTGGAGTTGACAGAAAGGTCTACAAGGACATGGAGCGAAACCCCACACAATTGGCCCATCTGTTGGAATTTGTGTGCAAAAAGGGGGAGGGTGTCATGTTCCTCGGCAAGCTGCACGTGCGAGTCGTGTGGGAGGTTTTGAAGAGTGGCTGACACGTGGTCGCGCTGGAAGGGAATTCTGAGTTGTTGCAATACACATTTGAGTTCCTCAAAAGCGAGGTCAACTCTGGAGCCAGCCGCTGTGAGTTTGTTTCGAGGAGCGAGAAATCAACACGCATTCGGGAACCGTCTACGGATATGTGGTTCAAGTTGAGCGAGTGGAAGAGGAACAGGATCTACGAGTTCCTCTTTTTGAAAACGCGGCACAGGAGGGACAATGGCGCTGAGTACATGCGCCGCAAGGAACACATGTTGGCATTGCTGGACAACTACCACGACGCCTCACGCAAGAACGCAAAGAACTTCCTCGACCGACTGGAGTGTTTGTACTTCGTCGAGTCCGAGCAGGTGCTGAAGCTCGAGAGTTATGGTGCCTTGATCTCCACGGACGACGAGGTGGAGACAGACGTTGTTTTCGATACTGCTACACCGGAGGAGGACAGCGTCAGCGAGGACATCAACATCGATTACCATCCTGCTCCGACGTTTCATGCCCCTGGCTCCTCGTCGGCCGGTCCCTCAACAAGCTAGGCCACCCAGGCGTCGCCTGTGCTCACGTTCACCCCGGGTAAGATCCCGAGTAAGCTGGCGGCGAGACTGACGCCTCGGCCTGCCGCCCCGCCTCCATTGCGTCCCGGGAGTTTGGTGTCGCTGCATCATCCTTCTCGCAAGGATGATGTCGTTCACTTCGAAGGGCTCGACCACACTCGATCGAGCGAGGCGGACTGGGGCCATGACATGATATGGCACCCGGGAACTATCCAGCCGGCAATCCAGAAGGGCGAGTGGATCATGACGCTCATCAGCGACCAAGGGTTGTGGCAGCCATACCCGCGCCAGTCCAAGGCGGAGTACCTGGAACTCGCGAGGATTTCGGTGCTCGACAAGTGAGGTCTGCGAATCCCAACTTTCAACCCGCCAACCCGGCCATCGATTCCACTGCTGAACTTCTGTTTCAAGAACTTCAGGATAAGCAGTGGTGGGAACTCTCGGACGAGTTCTGGTTCGCCCTGCGCC